GCCAGAAACATTGTTTATGGTGGCTTTGAGATAAGGTTGTGGCCTAGAACATATTTTAAGAATACATTCATAGCAGAGATGTACTTGCAGAGCATTGTAGGGCAAAATTGTCCCCAGTGCAATTCTTTTTTTCTGACTTACTATTACCATTATCAACATTACATATAAAAACTCAGAAGATATCTATGTTCACTGGTCATTTTGGAGGCTATATTTGTGTTGTAGACAACATGGCCCTTGGTTTCTATCACCACCACTGTAAAGAAATTGGTAAGCCTCTTTACAATGCTCAATTTCACATCAAAACACTCTAAATGACTTTGCTCACATTTCAACAATTGAATCATACAAATATTTGGAAAAATCAACAGAATTTCCTTTTAAAGACCAGTTTCCTGGGCCAATATTCATCCCAAAACTAGACTAAAAAGAATCTCCGGTGGTGTATCAAAATTCTGGGATTTCCACTAAGATAAGATGCCGGATTTAATTAAAGGACCTCTGTGGCACTGTTCTTTGGAGGATTAGGTTTGTGAGTACGGCTTCATCCAGATTGGATTCTTATGTTGATGCTGCTGTGTAATAGTACAGATTCAGAAATATAACTGCCCTCTGGACTTTGTGAAGCATTTTAAGCTTACAGATATAATATATCACATCAAACATACAGACAGGTGACAAGTTAATGAAAAAGCCTGAATGAATGGGTGTATAAACAAAACTAGTGCTAAAGCTTCCAGACAGTACTGCACAACAATTAAGCTTGTATAAAATGCCAAGCAGGCTAAGTTGACCTTGGTTTTGGATCAAGAAATTTAAGTGGCTTTGAAAGATGGTTCATTATTGAGGCATAGATGGCAGAAGATTCAGTCTAAAAAAACTGCTTAAGTGACTAAAGTTTCAAAATGAACAATGTCTAAAGTGACATCTGCATTTAGATCTATAGGAAAGTCAGTAAATATAGTTGAACATTAACAGCAACCATTCACAAGTGGGCGAGTGCACGTGCAGTGTACACCACGAGAACTGAACAGACCTAAATGCTTCATCCCTAAAGTGAGGACTCTTTCTACTGCGTGGAGCATTTTGTCGCCATGGTTTGGGTCCACTTGCCCCCTAAGATGGAAAGGTCACTGCATATTAATACAACGTTATTACCTTTATCCTATTAGCCCAATTCCAAAAAAGTTGGGACAGGAGGTTATTTTTTTTTTACATTTTTTATCTGTAAAAATATGCTTATTTAAAATATAATGCCTGTAACACATTCCAAAAAAACTTTGCTCAGGAGTATGTTTACCACTGTGTTCCTCTTTATGACATTTAATAAATATTTGGGGTCTGAAGACACCAATTAATTCAGTTTTGAAAGCGTATTCTTTGCCATTCTTCAGCCATACAAGCCATCAGCTGTGCAAATATATAGGGCCTATGTTGTTATATTTTGCACTTTGTGATGCCTGTACATTTTCAGTAGGACACATGCAGAGTGTTTCTTGCAGTTGTCAGACTGAAATAAGCATGGATGTTGCTAAACTATGTAGCATATGTAGTTTCATGATATGTATATTTTTTTCAGGGTTAATGGTGCCTTTACAGATGTTGAAGCCACCCACTGATATCCCACCATACCATGAGAGACCGTTTGAACTGGTAAAAATCTGTATGGTCCTTGTCTCGTCTCAGGGAATACGATGTCCATTATTTGCATAAACAATCTCAAAGGTTGATTCATGAGATGTTTCCACTGTGCATCAGTCCCTTTCAGATGAGCTCAAACCCAGAGAGGTCAGCGGCGTTTCTGGTCATTGTTGATATTTGGCTTCACTGTGGATTTAGTTATGAATAGCATTTATTCACAATGGTTTATCTCAATTTTCCCAAGCACCTGTGGTGTTATCCATCCTAGAAGCTTTCTGGTTTTTAATACTGTGCTGTCTGAGAAGGTCACGCCATTCATTTGTGGTTTTCAGCCTTGCCCTTTACACACAGATACTTCTCATGATTCCCTGAATCTTCTGATGGGTATTTCCTTTAATACTCAAGCATGACTGCATCATGTGTTTAAGAAGAATATTTCACAATTCTTAGTTCTTAGTCTTAAATTGTCCCAATTTTTTTGGAAAGTGTTGCAGGAATTACAAAATCAATAAGGCTGATAGGATAAAAAGTAACCTTTACATTCATATTTACAGCATTTAGCAGATGCTCTTATCCAGAGCAGCTTACTAAAGTGCTTTGGTGTCTACTCAGAGAATGTATCTTTGCTAGTTACAAGTAGGTTAGAGAGAAATCTAGTCCTGAGCTCAGATATTGCTAGAAACAAAAGCCTGTGATACCTAGAGAAAAAGAAACAGAATTAAACATACCGCAATACAATATATTTCAATAATTGCAGTATAATATGTTTTGATAAGTACTTAGTGCTCACTTAAGTGCTGTAAAAACGGTACAAAAACACAGATGTTTGCTGTAAAAACATTTGTGTCTTTGTACTGTTTCTGTTTAACACAGGTTACAGTGGACTTACAAATCACTGCTTCCTCTTTTTATATGCATTTTACTTACCATCCCCACTTTTTTTGTTATGAGGTTATATAATGAAACATTCTATACTGATCCATTCTATTTAGAATGACAAGAGCCCCATCCAGCAGGCACAAAGGGTCACTCAACGGTCATATAAGTTTGAAAATAATGTAAGTCATCCTTTGGTCTTCCAGTCACCAGTACTGTTTCAAACTAACTAATGCGTACATCCCTTTAATCTGATGATAATCTGTTCAGATAAGCATGTTGCCATGAAAATAAAGAACACAGCACATAGCGTGTTTTTAGCACAGTTAACCAAGAAAGTCTTTTTTTTTTGGTCTTTTTTTGTGATTTCTATCTGTTTTCCATTGATTTCTCCAGCACTTTACCTGCTTAGTGGGAGGTGTACATACTAAGTAACTACTAAGTTCAACATTAAAACTAGTTTGTGTAGTGTAGCCCATTTTGGTTTAGTTATGTGTAAACCTGAAACTTATTTTGCAACTAACCTTATTTATAACTTTTTTTACAACTAATGTACAGATTGTGCTACCGATCCCAGAACTCAGCCCAACTGAACATCTATGGGAGATTTTAGACTTATGTGGTAGACAGTGCACTCCATCACCATCAGCAAAACGGCAGTCAAGGGACTATCTTTTGGAAGAATGGTGGTCTGTCCCTCCGGTACAGTTCTGGAAACTTGTTGAATTTGTGGTGGCTTGTGGTGGCTTGTTTAGACCAACACCTTACTGAGGCACTTTATATTGGTTCTTCCTTAAAGTTCTTCCATCTGCGTATTGTAATGCAATTCAAAAGGGATCCTACAAAGGCTTTAATGTAATATATGTTTAATTTCAGTTTGCTTAATTGTTTTTTTTTGTTTTTTTTTGTAGCTTTAACTGTTTCCAAAACAGCAAAAAACTTCCTTGTTGCACCCTTGACACAAGGAACCTCCATAGAGTAAATGAGATAAGCAATCAGACAAGCTGCCTGGTGCAAGATGCAGCATACTGGAAGCCACATCCCTGTACAACCTGAGAAACAAAACAAAATAAAACAAACACTTGCGTGAGCCTGTAGATGCAGACAGTGCAGTACATGCCATAATTGCTCATAGTTGATGAAATGCGATAGTCTCATAAATTAAAGCAGGTGTCTCAGATCTGCCAAGAGTTCAGCTGAGGTAACACTAGCTTACACACCATTAGATTTACAGATTTACTCTATAAAACTGTTTTGAAGTTGTGTTACAGGAAATAGGACTAGTAAAACAACTCTAAGCATGTCTAATTCATAGGCATGTGAACAAGGAGGAGATTTTAGTAACACATTATTTGACAGTTCAAATAATCATAACACATGCATAAGCATTGAATAATGCATTTATAAAGCAACGTGAGTATTTATGAACAGCTTATGCCAGCAATCGCAAAAAGTTGAATTAAATGAACACACATTTCTAAACTAGACCTTCCTTTTAAGTTCCATTACTTAGGAATAATGCTTCATAATATTGTTATAAATGGAAGCACCTTCCATCACTTTAGTTTAAGGTCCCTTATGTCAATGCAATGTCATTTACTTCATAGAATAGTTTATGTCAACTTGCTGTTACGAGCATGAGCTGGTCATAAATATGTTGTTCAATGCTTATGCATGTTATGTAGTACCTCTGTAGGTGGCCTTTAAATAAAGTGTTACTATTATTTTTATATGCTACTCAAAATTGTATGATAAACTCGTTCATGCAAGAGATGAGTTAGAATTGATGATATATATAATAGAAGAGATGAGTGGAATTAAGTCTTTATTAAGAACTTTCTCATACAAAATGGCAGTGGTGCTGCATATTTACAAATGACCTATAGCACATTCACATAAAGACATTGACAATATTTAACAGGTATAAAAAATGCAACAATATAATAAAATTTGGACAAATATAAACATGCTATATAAATAAATGCATTCCATACTACAACATTGAAAACAGAAATGTATGTCTTTCAAAGCATGGTAGCTGACAGAACAATTAAAGACATTTAAGAAGTATACACTGAAAAGTGTAATGCATGATTTCCACATGAATAAAATATGTAAAGTCATGTGCTAAAGTTTTTGGCACCCCTGGTCTAGTGACATGATTTGTTGATTTTCTACATGAAAATAAGTGAACGCACTCTCTACTGAGAACACACTTCAGCACATTTTAATGCACAATTACTGTTTATTTTATATGCTTTTGACATTGTTTTTTGACATCCGGTCTTGCACGTAGGCCGACATGTCATGTTGTTAATCAACTAAAGTTACCCTTTAGCTGAGGATAGAGCAAGTGCTGCACCTTTTAACCTGAGAGATGTTTTATTTTAATATTTAAGTGTTCTCTGTAGAGGGCATGTATTTATTTTCACTTAGAAATGTAATGACCAGGGGTGTTCAAACTTTTGCATACGAGTGTAACATTAAAACAATCTTGTTTTTTTTTTTTTTCAGTTTACTTACTCTTGGCATTGTGTTAGTGTCATGCATTTCATTCATGTGGAAATGATGAACATATCAGAATCTAATAAATTCAGTGCATTTCTATTTCCAGTAGGCCTACCAAATATAAATACAAAATCTATGACAAACAAAGCAAAATACAAACACAACATATCCCATCTCAGAATTACACTAAGAGGTTTGTAGAGTCGTTCAGCAGATTGGACTTCACACAGTGTTTAAACTGAGATGTTCCTGAGCTGCATATGTCAAAAAAGACGGATTTGCACGCGAGTTGAGTTTTGGAGTTCGGCGCTTCAGTCATGGATAAGAAAGAACCTGAAAAACATATTGTTATGTTTTAGATTGACAGCTTGACCATAAATCAGTACACTTTATATTAGTTGCAAATTCATTGGCCTGTAGGTCTTCAAAATTATTACAATATTTCTTCAGTTCTTGTTTGTTAGTGCTTGTAATTGATATTGTGTGTATGTAAACAATCATAAATGTGCAGGCCACTTCATTAGAAACACCTACTTTGTTGATATACCTTGTAAGAGTACATCTTGAGACTATAGCTTTTCTTTGCACAACACACTAAACCACTAAAAGTTTAGAATCACTTATACAGGGGTGCACAACTCTGGAGGGCCGGTGTCCAGCACAGTTTGGTGATTTACCTGCTCAGCCACACTTGATTACATTTATCTGTTAATTGGAAGGTTTAGAGAGTGTGTTTAAGTAGGGAAACCTCAAAACTGTGCTGGACATTGGCCGTCCAGGACTGGAGTTGTACACCCCTGACTTATCATATTAATAATTGTTAGTCAATAAAGATTTATATAGTGAAATGTGTTAAATAGATATTAAAATATAAACTGATGGTTTATTCATAATGTAAAGTATTTAGGGAACAACAAGAAGTGATTATATGGTAAAAGATAGTAAATATTATTAAATAATGAACTATAATTATTTTTTTATAGAAACTTTTTGTCAAAAAATCACTATGAATAACTATTTATTTGGTGAGATCCGGTTTTAATTTTTACAGCTTCCTATGAATTGTTTGACACCTATAGAATATTAGCATCATATTACAATTTTTTTCATTCATGTATCTGCAACAAAACTGGTTTAATAGTTTTACTTGGAAAACAGCAACAACTTCTGAATGGTAGGGTAAGTGTTAGTCATCCTCTAGACTTTCATTAGTGGTCATCTGATATTTTTGCTAAGTGAACCATTCAGAATAATAATACTGGCAATAAAAACAAAGAAACAAAAAGCACAGCAGCAATGTTGCTGTGCCTGATCCACTCGTTCCAGCGTACAACACTACAGTGCCACTACCATGAGTGTTTCTGTTGTGCTAAGAATAGTCCACCGCCTAAAGGAGGTCCTTTTCGATGGAGGGATAAGGGGCAGCTTATAAATTTTCATCAACAGATGGGCTACAGATTGTAACTGTAAACCTATAATGTGCACCTATATGGTAGGTGTTTCTGATAAAATGGCCTGGCAGTGTAGGAACAAGGTAGATGTAGTACTAAAGGGCCCCTTGCTAAATTTTTACAAGCTCTAAGTGACCTTAATATGTTGAATACAACTAAACCTACATGCAGGTACATACTTAGACATATACATATACATACATGTATAACAAAATAAATCTTTTCCCACCTGTGTGAGGTCTTGGCAAGCGACCAATACCCCGAGCTTTTGTTATCCTTGTAATCTGGTAAACTGAAAGTACATGTCAAAGGAAGCATGAGAAGGTGTAATATTCAAAACAATTTCTGTCTTGCGTGTTGATCTGCTTCAATGACTGTGTTAGAATAGAGATATGTAGGCATTATAAAAGCATGGAAAAACTGTCCTGTATATATGTGTTATCAACCAAGTTTCTGTTTAGCATCACAGAAGATATAGGGATTAGATATGAAAGGGTAAAAAAAACAGATTTTACCAACAGGCTATACATGAAGTCATGGTCTTTTGAAGAGCTTGAAATGTTGGTCAAACATACTGCATTTTCACTGTCTGTGTTTTTGTTATTCTGTGTTAGCAAAAGGTTTTGCACTGTATCACTGTATCAAAAATAAATGTGCTTTCAATGCTGCAATTCTGATGCAACAGAACAGTGGTTCTCAATCCTGAGGACCAGTTTTAGAACCACTGCTAAAGAAGAACCAGCTTTGGTTTCCTACAGAACTTGGAGATGTGCAAGTGTGAAGAACCTTTAACATTTTAGAAAACCTTCACTTAATATAAAGGTTTTGGGGCTGTAGCCCCCAGTCATAAGCTTACATATTAGCTCCAAGCTAATATATGCATACCAGGAGTGAAATTTTTCTTCCTGTCTTCCTTGTTTATTTTGAATTACTGAATTGAGCGTCTCATACTAAACAACGCAATACATTGTATTGTTATACTCCCAAAAGGTTCTATACCAATCAAAGTATATTTCTTAGAGCTGTACATCCGAACCAAGAGCCATTTAGGAGCATTCATTTTTAAGATCATATGGACATGCAAAACCCCTTACCTATCATTGCAATGCCTGTCACCATAGCAACCACCAATAAAGCTGTGGTCAGGGCCACCACTGGCACCACTACATGCGTTAGCTGCCATTCACTCTCACTGCTTGTGGACGTGGAGGCCGAGAACGCTGCAGAGAAACAAGGAAAACGTGTATGGACTTACAACCACATAACTTTTTTAATGGTTTTTTTTATATATCTTTGGAAGGAAGGAAGTCAGAGGCTAAGGCAAAGTCATTGTGTGCTCATTTTGCAAGTGTAGGGCGAGGTAGGAGATATTTTTGCCTTGGGCTTTCATCAAAGCTTTGACATGCCTTTAGATGATCTCACCTATAGTCAAAATGAGTGGTGTTAGGCAGGTTGAGTCCTGCTCGGTAAGGCAAGCACAAGCAGTCCTAAATGTCACAAGCCACCCTTGCCGGAAGATGTTTGGTGTAACAGGAGCTTTTGAGCATTGTAAATTGAAGCACAATAGCATCCCCATTCACTTCTGAAGGATTTTGTTATCACATGAACTTTAACATCTACAGTTAGAAGTCATGGAATTACTAATCAAGCCCTGACATGAAGATTCTGGATTAGAACTTACAGCATGGGGGCTGGCAGTAGAGAGTAGTCACTCCGTATTTCACATCTGCCCGCTTTGCCTGGGGGAGCAGAAGATGTAATTAAGAATTACTTGAAGCGATATTGCAGCACATTTAGCCTAGTCATTACAACAGTGTGTGGACATCCCTCCTAATTCAACTGTTCAGCCATACCCATTGATGTCAAACTGAAGAGCCCAGTGACTTTAAATATAGCACTGATATAGGATGCTACCTTTGCCACAACTTAGTTTATGAAATTTCTGCCTTGCTAGATCTGCTGTGTTCAACTGTAAGTGCTATTATTATGAAATAGAAGCATCTAGGAGCATCAACGGCTCAGCCACGAAGTAGTAGACTACACAAACTCAGAAGCGCGCAGGTGGTTATCCAATTTCCAAACTTCCTTTGGAAGCAAGATCAGCAAAAGAACTGTGCTTAAAGAGTTTCATAATGTGGGTTTCTATGACCAAGCAGCTGCACACATGCTTAAGACCACCATGCTTGATGGAAAGTGTCCGCTACAGTGGTATAAAGCATGCCACCACTGGACTCCGGAGCAGTGGAAATGTGTTTCCTTGAGTGATGACTCATGCACTATTATCTATTAGTCTGATAGATTAATCTAGGCTTGGCGGACGTTAGGAGAATGCTATCAACTGGAATGCATAGTGCCAACGGTAAAGTTTAGTGGAGGTGGGATAATGGGCTCGGCCCCTTCCAGGCTCAGCCTCTTAGTTCCAGTAAAGAGGTGTGGATGAACCCCAGTGGCCTGCACAGGGCCACTTCAAAATCTTGTAGTAAGCCTTCCCAGAGAAGTGGAGGCTGTTATAACCAAAAAGGGGGGCCAACTCCATATCAATGCCTATGGTTTTGGAAGGGGATGTCCAAGAAGTTCATATAGGTGTGACGGTCAGGTGTCCACACACTTTTGACCATAAAACATATAATATAAGCCAGTGGGAAGTTGCTTCAGCCACAAGTCAATAAGTTTTCTATTCTTTTACAGTGCAGATAAATGTGTCGAAATTATTGCCTCTGGTAATCAACTGTACTCTGCAGATAGGTCAGATAGACATTATGATGAAAAACACTGGACTATTCCTTTAAAGTTTTTCTTTGAACATTGTGAAAGTGTAAGCGAAAGATAAGTGAAATCAGTCAACATTTTATCTTGCTTACCCTGATGCAGTTATTTGATTTGCAGAGATCTGTGGACAAATCAAGCTGTACGGTCTGAAATTTCTCCTGTAGAAGCAGCAAATAGCAGTTTGGGTTGAACAAGCGGTTACCATGTCTCATTTTTTTAACTTAATTTCCTTCTGCCACATGGTTGATTACCATTGATAAAATCCCATTTACCATGGACTCAAAACATTGTTATGATAGAAACCAATGGGCTGTTGCTTCAGGTTCTGCCCGTTCACTTCTATAGAAGTTTCTTTCCAGAGAACCTGTTTTGTGTTCTTTTGTACAGGAAAATACATCAAAATGTTTGTCCAAGGTAATCAGCCATATGGCAATAATGCAGTAGATAGAAAGTAGATTAAAAAAGACTGACGCTGTTTTCCTGTAAATCTTGAATACCCTTGTAAACACCCTGCATGCTTCACTTTCCAAGATGTTCAAAAGGCTTGTTTTGGGATAAGATCACTTTGATTGCTAAACTGTACATTCATCTAACATGACTCATTGTCTGCTATCTTATAGAGCTGGTGAGTACAGTGTAATTTCAAGATGGCTAGTGCCATGCCAGCTAACAACATAAAAGTTTATACACTAGAAGGTTGCTTGTTACTGCACTACAATTTCCCATTGCCCGAGGCAAGCACAGGCAGACATGATTCACTGACAGTTTTCTACTTCTCAGTATTCCACTGTCACCACCTTCTTTCCTCCACAACCTAATCACTAAAACATCCATATGTTGTACTCTATCATCAATATTGGTCTAACAATATGGCTTCCTGTTCATAAGTTGCAATAAAATATAAATGTTCTAAATATTTTTCCCATATTTTCTCGTAACGCTTTGACAGTTATTGCTATACTGTGATTTAGAAACACTACATCTCATGATAATCATTAACATTTGCATACTTGGAAATGTGCCATCTTTATCATACTTTGATCTTGGAAAAGTGAATAATTGACCTTTGATTCTCCATATATATATATATATATATATGTGTGTGTGTGTGTGTGTGTGTGTGTGTGTGTGTGTGTGTGGGTGTTTGTTTATATATGTGTGTTTGTTTGTCATGTTTATGGATGTGAGCTATGGATCTAATGTACTTTGTACATTTGTGATCCTGGAATGCTGAATATAATCAGCAGCAATTACTTAAAGGGCCTACGTCATGGAAAAACAAATATCCTTTGCCTTTTTTGAAATAAGAGCTAGGTATAGTAAATAAACATTCCTAATGTTCAAAAATCATCATTTGCTATATATGGAAACTATGCTGCAAAAATTACACATTTTAAGTTGTGATGTCACAAAAAAATATATATATCAACCTATTCAGTCTACATCAGTTTAGACTCATTCATTTATCTTTAAGTTTTAACTGGCTTTTTAGTCTGGACTGCTTTTTGAGTGAGACATGATACAGTGCAGCCAATCCGAAAAAAAGGGTAATTTACACATATCAGTCTTAAAGCAACAGTAACAAAAATAGCTTGCTTAACTTTGAGGGATAAAAAGAGGTCAGAAAATGGTCATGTAAAACTGCATTATGAATTTTCTGGTATATTAACCCACAATGCCATAAGCTGACCTAGAATAGAAGAAAAATATGGAACATATGGGCTCGTTAAGGAACTATAGGCCTCTATCTGTTTGAATTACACTTACCACTTTAACTAAGGTGGTGTGTGTGACCTCACACTCAGCAGCCACAGTTTTGGTACACTTGCTCAGAGCAAGGCTGGTTTTGACCTGTGATGTCACAAGCAGCTCTGAGTGACCCACTTGTGTGCTCACTTTTAGATCCCAAGCTTAAAGACACAGAATAGAGAGCAATTAATGAAAGACCCAATGAATGTGCAAAGAGTTCAGACAATGGCTTAAATGAATGGTTCCACAACAAATCCAGTTTATTCAACTTTCCACTCACCCCAGATTTAGTCTAGCAGCCAAGACATGTTTGGTGTCCATATTTTGTTTCTTTAGTTTAGCGCTGGAGCTATAAGGTTAATGTTGCTAACAAACACTGGAAGTCAATAGTCACCCAAATCTTTTACATAAATACATCCCCATACATGCTAAAGAATCATGAATGGAATCTATAGCATCGATATGCCTGCATGACATACATATATGCAATAGGCAGTCAGGTTTTGGCACAACACTCCTGTCTAAAGTGGTTGCTCCCAGACTTTGGCCATACTGTGAATGTGTTTCACAGTAAGTCATCCTGTATTGTAAACCACCTCAACAAGTCTGTGCAACTTTAATGAAGACCTGGCTGCAGTGGCTGCAGTTTGAGTGTGTTGAGAGAGGTATTTATGGAAGGCCTGTCACAGTTATTAAAAAAAACTGGCGAGCTAATTGCAGTTATTCAAACTGACCACAATTACTTCCCACAACTGCAACTGTTAGTTTTCACAATCCTATATTTAGCTGTAGAAAACAATGTGAATTAAGTGAGTTTTCATTGGTTGGGTTGATGCAAATACATACATAAAAAAGAACAGAAAATCATGCATCTTTTGACACTCTGCAAGGGACTTGGAAAAAATAACAAAAGTTCCAATTTCTGACTGGTACTATAAAACCTTTAGAGGGCAGCAGTAAGTAATTTTTTAAGCAAAGTAAGTTTTTTTAAGCTTTAGCTGTGTCTGTTGGTGCTACTAGGTATCGACAATTGAGCCAATTTGGTCACTTTAGGCTTTTAAATAGTTACATACAATAAATGAAACAAAAATATTGGTATGTATTTGGCAATTAATTGCCAGCTAAAATTTTAGACTAGAAAAAGACAGAGAACACTAAAAATGTTCAAGTTTGCAACGTAGGCCTCACAGCTGCCGTGTTATATCAAAGAAGCAAAATTTGGACACCAAACATATCTTGACTGATCTGGAGAAAGTGGAAAAAAATCATTTGAATTTGACTTCCCCTGAACCATTCCTTAAAGTATTTTGCATGCTTTTAACAAATTGCTAGTTGTGGAGTTGTAAAATAATGGCCTTATAATGTTCAAGCCCAGTGCAAATATACTAGTACAAGACAATATTAGTGTCTACATCACTGCATGATTAAATGTTCTTCCTCCTCTCTCTCTGTATATGACTCAACTCTTCAGAGAAGACATGTTTAAGCAGGGAAAACACCAAATAATGTAAGATAGGGGTCATTCCAAGACTGGGAATGAAAACAGAAAAGGAACAGGAACAGTTTACAGATTATTATCAAGTTGCAGTTACTGTCATACTAGCCAACCTTGAAACTTCTAGAGAAAGTTTTCAAACCCACAAAATAACAACCCAACCATATATGTCCAAAAGTATACTTTTAACTTGCACCCATTGCTGACACTGTTCAACTGAATAATCTACAACTTGTATAATCTCCATAGAAAAGCATTGTCAGTGCTGCTTTGGAGCAACCACACATTCCAGGCTGTTGAAGGAGTTGGAGTTGCATTTGTGATCCAGAACTAATCATTCAGCATCAGTACCTGACCCTTACAAATGCTCTTGTGGCTAAATGCAATTAAATCCTTGCAGCAATCCTCAAACCAACATCTAGTGGAAAGTCTTACCAGAAAAATAGAAGCTGTTACTGCAGCAAAGAGGAGCAAGCTCCCTATCAATACCTTTGATTTCAAACAACGGTGTCTACAAACTTTTGGACATAGAGAGTACAGTAACTGAGTAGTAACTTCAGTAAGATTCAAAGGTTTACTAGTGATATTGTTGTCACGGGGCATGGCCACAGTGTTGCCAGTCACTTGATCACATCCAGGAGATCAAAGCCACAGATCTCAGGAGATCAAAGGAAAAGACGTCACAAGCATACAGCTTTGACGTTTAAAGTTTAAAGACTTTCCTCTGTTGATCAAATCACCATTGTTCTGGGTAACCATTCAGCAGGTTTGTGATAACAAGAAAGGAAAAAAATAAATAAAGCAGAAAAATATAGGAGAATTTCCATCTTGGGGGGACGCTGCTGAGGGCAATGGAAATCTGGACCCTCCCGGAAGAATTATGAGGGTTGGAAAGTGGTATAAATAATATGATCTTTCATACAGATGTTGCATATAAACATTAGCAACTTTTATAATAAATAACAATCTTTGTTTCAGTTGGAAGCCCATAATGTTGGGACCACCCAGTTACTTTGAGCAAGATAGTACGTTAAAGACTGAATTACCTGGGAAGTTCCCTTCTGAAAATGGGCACTTAACCCACACTCCAGCCTCTGTGATGAACTGAAAAAAAAAAAAATCAGAGCACGCATTGTCTAAATAATGAGTGGGAGGATCATTTTCATTTGACCAAAGTAGCGCTTGTGCCTAAAGCAATGATATTCATGATGACAATAACATTGTACTTAGTGGTATGGAAATGATAAAAGGCATTAAAGATGAAGTGATAATATTAACCTTCATGCAAAGCCGGGGATGAGGATCCACCGCTGAGTATGTCACCTGTGGAGGGTTGTGTGGTTAGGTACAACTCAAAAGTAATGGGCGGTGTGTCCATTTATTTGTTTATGCATATTCATTTTCTCAAAAAGGAGCTTACTTTTCCTTTCATGTACGTCTGGGATGAATTTGCAAAGTCTTGGCACGTGTCTCCATCTTGCAGCTCGCACAACCTAATGACGGCATTAACATGGCACGTTGCTTCCCACGATAGTGTCTCCTCAATAGGGTCAAAGGTGATCCCAGACCACAGCTCCTCAACACCTGACAAGCATCAAAAGTTTCAGGCCCCCGCTCTTCAATAACCAGAGCAGAGCTTCCTTCTTCAGGTGTAAACACATATACTTACGGTTTTCGAAAGGGCAGACTCGAACCCGAGGTGCATCAGTCATGATAGACCAGCCCTACGTCAAAATACCATAGTGCTATAAATGCCACAGAATCACCACTCAGTTGCCATTAACACAATAAGTGGGTCAAATGCCTGAGATTCACATTGTGTTTCCTGAACAATCTTTCCTCACCTCAATGCACAAGCAGGGCACAGGTCGGGAATACTTCAGGGTGACTTTCTTCACAGGATTCTCCTTTTTCAGCTATAAAAGGAAACATGATTGACAGACCTGTCTGTTTGGAAGTCACGTGGCAGAGTTTCTGTCCTACTTTATGCGTTTGATTGCGTAAATTTTGCAGAGTGTTTACAAGATACTGTCTATGATCCCGTAATCAAATGCATGTTTGGAGTTTCCAAGTTTGGAATGGTTGAGTGGAATTCAGGTCATGACAGGGTGTCAGAATTGACTTTGTCTTTATATTCCTTAATAACCTTCCCTTGCTTCCTTTGTTGACTAAGCTCCAGGAAATGTAGTAGAATGCCAGCACCAAGTGACTGCTCAAATGGATGTATAACAGCATGGATTGTAGCAAATCACTGGGCATCTGTAATCACATGAAAAATTCCCCTACATTCAAGCATACACCTGGTAACCCTGTCATTTAAGTCACTTATAAGTCATGTAAATTCTGTACTTTTTATACATTTTTTGTCTATTTATCTATATTTTCTATATATCTGCCAAGCTAGTTAGCCATCTGTCTAACTGAAAGGATGTGGAATTAGGGTGATTAGGGTTACATTCCATGTCATTGACTTGGTGTATATATGCCAGACTATTAAATGACTTACCACTGCTTGAACTCCAGTGCCTGTGCAGATGAAACCCTTGTGGCAGAGCCTCAGTTGGTAGTCTTTATCCTCCAGCATATCGGAAACACTCACAGAAAGCTCCTTCCTATCAGTGTCTACATCATACTGAATCTTCCCCGCTGAGAGCAAAAAAGAAACAGACTTCATGCATTCTGCATGACACATTCTTAAGCGTAAACACAAAGTTACTTCACTGCTACACCCCTTAAAAATAAAGGTGTCTAAATGGTTCTTGGCCTGGATGTACAGTTTTAGGACTCATCTTCAACTGGTATAAAATTTTTACATATTGTGGATACTCTTTATCTTTAAAGAGGTTCCTCAATCACACACATCTTTTTACCAACAATCCTTTGAAGAGTTTTGGGAAATGAAAGTGGTTCTCCTAGAGCTTTACTCTAAAGAGCTCCTTTTGGTTCCATTTGGCACCTTTATTTTAAAAATAAAGGGCAAAATTGTAGGGCAAAACAGCTGTTCCTCCAAACTTACTGATGCATTCAGGGACACTTCTTTGTATATCCTTGTTGCTGCAGTCTGACAGAAGAAAGAAAGGATTAACATTGATGAGTTTGACAGTTTCAACTGTTCTGAACTTTCAATGAGAACATTTGGAGTATTCTTACACAGAAGACATGTCTACCCTGTGTATACTGTGGGAATTCTTTTATTCAACAACAGAAAAAATCTTAAAATTCAGTGACTGTGACAATACAGTGACTACTACTATAATGGCAATATCACCCATACCTGGAACACGGTATGATCTGGAAATAGCCACATCACAGATGTGCGGCCAGGTTTTAATTGTTACATGGACATCCTGTCCTGAGTGCACTTCCAGGCAGTCATCCTGAAAATTCACCTTCCATAAAAAGACACAAAAGCAGTCATTCTTATTCAGAGTTCCAAGAAAGATACAGATTTGAGACAGCAACAATTTTAAGTCGTTTCTAAGAAATACAGGGAGTTGTCTAGTTCCGAATTTGTCTTTATCCCTCCAGGCACACAATGAATAGGGTGACTTGACTTGTACTCACAGGTAAGAGTGCTTAAAACCTGCTGCTTTTTATTTTTTTGACAAAAGAAAAACTTTGCCAGTATTAGCAAAAGTATGATAAGGCAAAACTATTTCATAGCTCTTTGAAACAAGACGGTGTCGACTCTAAACTTTCCAGTGATAGCATGTGTTTGCTTATAAATACAGGAGATATTGTATTATAGCTTAAATATTTTAAAAAGTTACTGTTGTGCAGTACTGAAAGAAAAAACAACTCTTTTGCATTGTTTTTGTCATTGCTTTACATTGAAACAAACAGAAATGTAATTCAGAAGTGCAGACCATTCTGCCAGAAAAGAATAAAAATGGAATATAAATGTTATTAACTCATTGTGGACTTAAATAAATAACTCTCAACTTCTAAGGATTAAGAATAATATACAGTGTTGACACATAGAGTGATAGTAATACCTGCTGGTTCACCAATTTCTCTCTTGCTGAACGCAAGATTCTCACGGCTCTGCAGCGTTCCATCATTCCTGCAGTAACTATGCACACGTAGATGCCACGGATGTGCTCTGGAATAGAGAAATTCCCCAACAGTCAGTCACACAAACACACTTCCAGATAACCCATTATTGGCTGACCCACATGGACAGGAACAAGCAGTGGCACCAAACAAGAATCATATGTTGTGGAGAGGGATTGGGAAATGACTGCAACAGAGGCTTCCAAAGAATTTTCCCTGTGCTATGAACAATGAAAATCCCATACGGATAACAGCTGAAGTTAGTAACGAGTTGTGATGTGAATCACTAGAGTGAATAGGATTGTGAGGTGTGCTGCAGTGGGAATAAACAGTAACATAGATGACCTTTATATGACCATGTACATCTGGAGATCTGGATAGTCTTTCTGTTTTGTTGTATTCTAACCTATCTCACACTAATTATTACCAGCGTTCATCTAACTCTAACAGTTAAACTACACTAAATCTAATTCAGTTGATACATTCTACAGGAGGTCATCTAACCCAGCTGACTTTCTTGTGTTTAGAGATTGTTTAGAAAGTCCTACTTGTTGATACACCTTGGTGGTGTACAGTTAGTGACTATGGTTCTTTTTTTTTATTTTAAGTTGGCTTGACAAAGCCAATTTACTGTTCTCCATAATTTTGTTAATATTTTTATTCTACTCTGAAATTTGTTAACACACCTCCTCCTGCAGTTCACATGCTAGAGCCACCAAACCTTGTCCAATCCTAGAGCCTAAGAGTTAATGCTTTTTGCACTGATCAGACAGTTTTCATACAGTGATCATTCAGATATTTCTCCTATAGGGCTGAATGTTCAGAAAATTCAACTGTCACAAACGAATGAACACCTCTCACACTGACACTCATAGGCATTACATACAGACTCACATACATATTAGCATACACATATACACACATACTCAGCAACCACTTGGGATATCATAGAAACCACCAAGCAATACCCTAGCAACCACCCGGAACACCACTGCAGCCTTTAGCAACCATGAGAGATACCATAGTAACCATCTAACAACACTCCAGCAATCACATCCACTACCATAGCAACCACATAGCAACCACCAGACAGACCATAGCGTCTGCCTAGCAACACCCTTACAACCACATAGCAATGACCTAACAACCACTTAGCAATACCCTACATACACCTAAGATACCATAGCAACTGCTTAGCAACAGCCTATGAACTCAATCCCTGGAGTTACTGAATAACAAGCCTTAGTGTGTAATATACCTGGTATTTAAGGGGTTAAACAACCAGAATAGCATAGAAAACTGTTAGCAACACCCTTGCAATCACCTGAAATATCATAGCAACCATGTAGCAACACACCAGCAATCACTCTGCATTTTCCTACGTGTGGAAAACCCCCAGCAAACCTCCAGTGCCTGATACACTCATACCAGTGCAACACACACTACTATGCCTCTACCATGCCACTACATGTCACTACAATGGTCCACCACCCTAATAATATCTGATCAGTGGTGATGCAATTGATGCGATTGATAGGCAGGGTTGAGGGTCCGTGCTACTGTACAGTACAGTCAGTAACTGTAAACTTAAAAATGAACCTCTGTGGCAGAAGTTTTTAATAAAATGATCAATAAGTGTGATTACAAGGTAAATGAGTGAACCTACTTACTGTTCATCTGAAGACCAGTGCTGACTCTGAGATGAAGAGAACACCTCTGTCTCTCCTCACACTTCATCACTGTGGAAATGCTGGTGTTGCTGAAGACATCCCTGTTCACCCCACCTGACAGGTTCTTGCACCTCTCAAATGACACTGCAAAGTACAGAACCAATCAGGCACAGTCTTCTCTGACCCACAATCAATTTTGTCCTCAGTGAACAAAGCATTTGTTAAAGGAACAGTTTTGTCCCTTTACCCCAAAAGTAGTCAATAAGCCAAGATATGTTTGGTGTCGGAAGTTTGCTTCTTTAGTTTAGCACTGGATCAACGAGGCTAATGTAGCTAACAAGTAATGGAAGCCTATATCACAGCACTTAGCATCATGCAAGCTGCATGCCTAAAACATCACACATTTGAATCCAACCATGTTATTAAGAAATGTTTCAAATTGCCTTAAAGCCTGAATTTTATTCATTCTTTTGTCTATTTTTATAGAGACCAGTACATCATATGATACCAGACACCACATGTTAGTTTAAGATGACTTCACTCTACATCATTTGAGAAAAATGTGTAATGATTAGGTATGCAGTTTCTCAATGCTAACTGGTGGCTATGTTTCCATTTCTCATGATCCCTATTAGCCTCATAGCTTGGTAACTTCAGACACCAAATATGTCTTGTCTGATTAACTATATTTAGAGCAAAGGTGAAACTGAACTGAACTGAACAGAATTGGGAAACTCTGGGAAGTTTAGTGTAATAATGACAAACAATAACATACACGTTTTGTTTGGCTCAATACTCACTGTTATAAACTTTATAAGGGTTAGGTTCACCCATTGATAATAATCATAGCTTTCCAAGCTAGTGTCTCGATCAAATATAGTGTTCCCATAAGAAAACAAATATTTTGAGGTTTATGAGGATTGTTTATAACAGAAAGACCACCCACCCTGACTGATTTGCTAGATTTGATCGATTATAAATTACAAAGCAATACAAAAAATAAACAAATAAATAAATAACACATAACGCTTACATTGGTAGTTGGCTTCACAAGGCAATCCCTGTAAGGAAAGATGCCAAGAGAAAACAGTTTAGCATCATACTTCATGGTTTGTCCTGTTATACACACACATTACGTGAAGGTCACATGGCATATGACCGGTTTGTAGCACACCAGTGATTACATTTAGATGTCTCAACAATGGAGCTGCATGGCTAATAGCCTGGCATGAGGAAGCTGAGACATGTAGGGGTTTGCCCAGTGCACTTTGCACTGGGCAACATCCTGGTTCCATTCACACATCAAGTGTAATTTTGGCTGGGTTCACATTTTCTTATCAATGAAGTCCTCACTGGACCTTTGTCCACATAATGTAACAGAGGAAAATATTTAGAAAAAGTGGCTAGATGATTCCTTTATTATTTACTTTAGATTGTTCGTACATTTCACCTACTGTCAATCATAAAAGCTCATAATGAGAAAAATTAAAAAGACTGAACGCAAGACTTTATTTACTGTACACTGCTGAGAAACAGGAATGAAACAGGAACAGGAAACATGCAAAGTCACTTTTTTTCTTCTACTGCCTGTATCCTTTGAAGATATTTACAAACCACAGTGGAGGAAGTTCTGTTTTCAAGGTAAACTGATGTCGCCATCCACACGTAAAACATGATGCACTTCATTCATTGATGGAAGTGATAAGCTATTATTATTGCAGTTCTCTGTAAAGCTAATATTCACATTGCCATATATTTAACACCCTCTTGGGTGACACCTAATAGCCCAAAGCGCTTTACTATAGTAGATTTTCTAAGGGAATTCCAAAGTGACAGTCTATTTTAAGTGCATGCCAAAGTCAACTGATACAGCATGAATAGCACGTAAGAGTGAGGGAGGGAATACAGGACTGTGCCAGCATGACTGCTGGTGTGACGTGTACGTCATTTTCCATGACAATCATTAAACGTCATTCCTTTTATTTGGACTTTTAGCATAGTTAATTATCAATGCTCAAATATGAAGTGTGTACACAAAGGCGACTGGATGATTAGAGCAGCAATTACATCATTTGTAACAGCTCTGCTCTGTGATAATACATTCAGTACACATACACACATACACACACTTTTTTTATATAGCATCAGGACAGTAGGGTTATACACATGTCTTACCTACATGTAATAATAAGAAGTCCTATTTACATTATACATATATAAGTACCAATATGTAATAATATGTCCCATATTAATTAAAAATATGTAAGCATTTATATGCAATAATGTATCCCATATGTGTTATATGAACGTAAACACCCATATATACTTACAGGTACACATAAGTACCTATGTATCCTAATACGTCACACATTTGTTATAAATGGTATATATGCATTCAATAATAATATTTTCTGTATGTATTATTTAAACCGTCACTGTCCAAAGAAAACATGTATGTCTACATTAGTAACTTTACAGAAAAATGGTTTTAATGTAATTTAATATAAAAAGGTTTCACTGTAAACAGTTTTGAGCATTTCTATCAGTCCATTCATCATGAAATTATCACATAAGTCAAGGACAGCCACCATGTTCAAATTATGTCAAAAAATAAAAAAAAATATAAAAATAGAGATGATTTTTATATTCCTATATGAAATAATATGTACCATGTATTTTATATATTACATATGTAAGCACCTATATGTAATACTATGCCTCACATGCATTATATGTAAGTATTATAAATAAGTATCTCAGTTATATGTGAGAATAAGTCACATATGAGTTATACATATACATCCCATGATGTCATATATGGAAGGAACTATAAGAACATATAAAAGCCTAAATCTTATATATATATATATATATATATATATATATATATATATATGTGTGTGTGTGTGTGTGTGTGTGCGAAGGGCTGTTTTGTTTGTCCTGTCCTGGTTTTCTCTGGTTTTACTACAGTGTTTTCTTATAATCGTATGACAACAAACACCCACACTCACATAAGGTGATAATTAACCAGAGGAAACAGTTAAGTTCCTATCAGTTCCTATACATTAAAGCAAAATATATTTGATTAAACTAGCAGGTTCCACATTCTATATCACATTTTTAATAGAATCAGCAGAAGTGAATGACCTTCTGCAGGTGATTGAATGCAGAAGTTGTGATAGCTCTTCCACTGAAATACCTGAGAACAGCGGGCTTCACATTGCTCAATCTTCTCTATCCGTTCTCCTTGCACTCTGGAGCTGAAGAAAGCCAGCAGCAACAGCACCACACTCTTCATCCTCAGTGGGTAGAACTCAGTCTGCCTGGGAGCTGAAGTCCTCTGTTAGAGAAAAGACTTTGACAGACCAAACCTTGTACTAAGGGCTAGTTAACAGTGTCTATTGTCTATTACAACCTGTATTTAATTCTTTTACAATCTGTATCTCTATGACTGTCTGTATTCCTATTGCAGTCTGTAGTTCTACTACAATCTGAAGTTTCCTCCTGAGGTTTTGTAGCACTTAAAGCCAAACCGAAGGTGATGAGCTCTAAATATAATGTGTTAACAGGGGGAGGGAAATAACCGCCCCTTCTGTGTGTCTCTCTTTTCCTCATCTGTTCACACATACACACTCTCTCCACCCTCTCTATCTCTCTCTCTTTCTCTTTCTCTCTCACTATACTTGATGTAGAATACTAAATATGTTTTTTATTTCTTTATGTTTCATTTTATTACTTTTTTCATTTTGTTCATATTGTTCATTTTATACCGTTATAGTCGAAAAGAATCTCTGTTTTCACTTAACCAAGCCAGGTGAAGCCATCACTATGATTGTTTATGCTTTGATTCATTACTCTCATGGCTTGGTGCTTAAAATATGTCATTTTAATAGGTGAACTGACACTCATATGCAAATTTATCTGAGTCTTCTGGCCAGCAGGGGGGGCACACTGTGCAGAACACTACATAGAGTTATTCAACTAGTTGCACAGGTATCAATTCTGGCTCTGTTTTTTTATAGTAATTTTATTTACAGTCAGTCTTTTTTAATTAAGATGCCACATACATTTTTAATGTATTAATCTTCTTTCCATACAGCATTTTGTATAATTTATTTTTACATAATAATGTTTGTTTATCCCTTAGAATCAAACAGGCTTTTTTTTACTGTGCCTTTAAGATGGACACATGTATGTATGTATATGGACATACATGTATGTATATTAACACTATAGGAACAGTAGCTTGTATTTCCAAAAAAGTAACTTTACAGTACAAAGAAAAACATTTTTAACTTTCAATGGAAATTAATAGAGAAATTATTTTTTCCATCATTCCAACATTATCAACAGTTTCTGGTGGTCCATTAATCATGGAATTTTGACACAACATAAAGGACAACTTGACTTTTTATGTCAAAAAATGTAAAACAACAAAAATGAAGATATGAGGTTTTGTCCCAGCAGTGACGATGTATATATATATATATATATATATATATATATATATATATATATATATATATATATATATATGCTGTTGTGATTGGCTGACCTCTATTGTGCCCATCCAGGATGACGCACTCCAAAACTTAAGCTGTGGTCTAGATGGACTGCGTTCCTAGGCTGCTACGTTGTTGATGGCTGGATTGTTCAAAAGGCCAATAAAAGATATAGCATTCTATCTTAGCCTTGTATCTGTTTTAGGGGTTGTAAACCGATTGCAAGGTATGAAGTGCACCTGCTTTCATTGAGGTGAACAGGTTGTAGCTTGCAGGATAGCATTTAATACAAACAAAGACATGTTCTGCATGCCACATTACATCAGTCACATCAATGTTAGCTTGTCAGCATGCTATCATTCATATTATCCGTCATTCATTCATAGTATCATTCATCAACAGTTATTTTCTGCATCACATTTTCATGCTATATCTCTTTTCCAATGATGTGACAATGCAGTGTCGGTAGACTATTCAGTTTTTTATGACATTATGCAAATGAGAAGTCTTCATAGGACAGTGGTACTGAGGACTCACTTTTCTTGGCTATAGCCTATTATGACCCATACACATACACAACCTAGAGCTCCTTATAAAAATGTGAACGTGCAAGTGCTGTAGGTTGAATAGGCAGGTATATGTAAATGTGCTGTTTTCTGTGACATCACAAAAACAATTAATTCAAAACAGACTGCTTTCCTTTATATGGACTACATGAACTGGAGTGAATGATACATTTTGAAACTTTAAATATGTTTACATACAACATTATATTCTTTAATTTCAAATGCGTGAGGACATTTCATTTTCCATGATATTGGCCCTTCAATAAAACCAGATACCTTGCAGTCAAACTTGTTGAAGTGAGCCAATGCATTAAAGGGGAATTCCACCAATTTTCCAAAATTACTGCACGATTAAACAGACATTAAAAAAAGGCATTCAGAGTGGTTTGATGTAAAATGCTCCATTCTAAAGAAAATTACCAAGTCAGAACACAGTGGTGGTGATAGGACCCAATTGCTGAAGCTTCATATGCACCTAAGAGCTCCCTCACAGAACTTTATTACATGAAATGGTTACAAAATATGTTGCTTGATGCCTGATACATTGTTTTATGACAGTTTTCAGAAGGTTGAAGTTTTCAGAAGGATGGCCTAAAACGATTCATAGTGGTGGGAAACATGTAGGATGTTGTGAGGCAAAATAGTCTCTAAAGAAAACTTTTTTTTTCTTTCAGATTTACCACTATTTCACCATAATCAACGTCCACTAGTGGTGTTATATAATAATAAAATGGCTGTATTTGCGTTGTAGACATTGTGACCCCTGGTTCCCATCAACACCACTGTAAAGAAATCTTAGAGTCATTAAGATTCTCTGCAACTATTTTGCATCAAACTGTTCTGAAGGACTTTGTTTACATCTCAAAGACAGAAGTATATAGAAATTTTGAAAACAAAAAAAAACAGTGTATTTCCCCAGTGTATTTAACATGCTTATCAGGTAACAGGTTCTCTGTAGAGTTACACGATCAGATTAATTTCCTTGCATTTCCATAATTTCCTGATTGGCTGATGCCTTTTAGTCAACCTCTGTAAACAACTGCTCAACCAATGAATTAAAGGCATATTGTATTAAAATCCCTGCATAAGTCAGCAGTGGGGTTGTAGTATTCAGGTCTCAGTATAATGGTCTTGGTCTTGTCTCAGTCTCGTGGTAAGGTGGACTTGTTCAGTGCAGGACCTCCCTCTGAGGTAATTAAAAACTTAAGCTTTTATTTTACTGAATTATTGAATATGAACAAAACCATCACATAGAACATTTTTCTCCTATGTTTAGTTCTCTTTCTATATGTTTAACCCCTTAACATTCCAGGCTTATTACATACTAAGGCTCATTATTCAGTAACTACAGGGACTTCAATGCAAACTAATGGAGCTTTTTTTTTAGGTTATAGAAGTGTGTAATAAAACTTTGGGGTGCTAAGGGGTTAAATAAAATCTGTTTACTGCCAGTCGAGAATCTAATTCATCTATTCTGTGATGGCTAAGCTGGGTATTATTTGTTTGTTGATGTTCATCAGTTCCAAAGTTCAAACATCCCCTGAGGGCAGATTAGAATGTTATTACTACTGTGTTTATATTCTGTTTATTTTAGGCTGTGATTCTGAAGAAGTTTTAGAGACGAGGTCACAGAGAATAAGCTCACCTTCTACTTTTCATTTTTACATTCTGAAAAAAATCTTAATCTGGTATAATCATTTCCTTGATATATATATATATATATATATATATATATATATATATATATATATTTTCTCCTGAATATGTTAAACTCCATAAACTAAGTCATGAATAGAAATTGTGCACTGCAGAAAAAAATTGCAGCCTCATTTAAGTGTGTTCTGTGTGTGGCGTGTGTTAACTCATTTTCACTTAGAAAAGCAACAAAACAAGCCATTTGACCAGGGGTGCTCAAACAGCTGTATGCTGTATGTAACACCACAGGCTGACATAGTGAACTTAAACACAAAACACCATCATAGTTAATATAACATATACCTGTAAAATGCATGCAAACCTAACCCCAGCATTTACAACTCTTAATGAACTTTATCTGATGGTAACTGATAAGAAAGAGAAACCAAGTAAACTGCTATGACTGCTGGGAAGCTCCATCAATTCCACTAATTAAAACTCTACTATATCAAAATTTATCTATTTAATGAACCTACAACGGAAGAAACTGTTGAACATATTTAACCCCTTAACAGGCCAGGACCTGCCAGCAGGCCCAAAGTTTTATTACACACTTCTATAACCTAAGAATAGCTCAGCCAGTTTGCATTGAAGTCCCTGTGGTTACTGATAATAAGTCTTAGTATGTAAAAAGCCTGAGATTTTAAGGGGTTAATATGTTTACTTTAGTGGAAGTATTATGTGTGTTTTAGTTTTTCTTTACTCGGGGGTTTACTGTGTATTATAGTACCATCAGTAGGCCAAAATCTACTATTTTTTTTTTTTTCCAAAATGACCAAGAATGACCAGATACAAGATCTGACATCAGAGGATTTATGTGTCATGTTGTTCAGAAAGCTGTTTTCAACAGTTTAAGATGACTCAGGCTAAAAATATGCTTACAGATGTAAAACTTGCTGACAGTATTTGTGTGTAATGATTTATTTGATAAACATCAGCAGAAATACAGTTGCTTAACAAGGTCGGAAACAGAAATGCACTCCCTCGTCTACTCCTCCACAGGACTGGGAACTATGTAAGGTCTGACATTTACAGCCTGCTTGAAGTTCCTCCACAGTGGTTTTTTGTGTTTTGATTTAATGATTCTGAGATTCCGCTTCCCCTTTTTAGGTCTTTCTGCAGTAGATTTACTTTAGTAAACCTTAGTTACTTTATGGTCATTATCCTGTTCTGGGTTCAGCTTTAGCTGATGACTTCATTTTCTGTAGAAAAATTCTCTGGTCTGCCGTGGGAGTTATGGTTAAAGAAGTGATTTCACATACCCAATTTTCCACATAATCCAGCTGTAGTCAATCAGCCAAGATAGTTTGGTATTTAAATTTTGCTTCTTTTGTTTTGTGCAGGACCAATAAGGCTAATATTGCTAAGAAACACTAACAGCTAATACTCACCCAAATCTGTTCTGTAAATACTTCCCCAAAATTTCTTTCAACTTGACTAATATTTGACTACCTATATCTGGCAACTTTTTTGGGTGGTCAGTGATTTTTTATGATATCACAGCAGATTACAGAGGCCTATGCAACACCAAGATGGCTGCACACTAACCACACAGTGTTGGGCACATCGTCAGTGCATATTTGTTTACAACTGAGACAAAACAACAGCAAGATTATGCACACACTAACAAGAGCACAGGTGACCATAAACCCATCAGCTAATGCAACATTCAACCCTTTAAAGCATGCATCTCATTCTTCACAAGCAACCCATTATCCCAACGAATATGACAAATTAAAATCGGGCACTCGAAATACACATAAAGATGAAAAAAAGTAGCAAACATAAAACC